GGGAGTGGCGGGGGCGCGCCCCGGGGTGGGCACGGGGAAGTTGTCGGGAGCGCGCGAGGGCACCGGAGGACTGGGGGAGCCCCCGAGACCCCTGGGGCCTGAAATCCAGAGCAAGCGGGTAAGCGGAGAGGTGGTGGCGGGGGAGGGCCAGGGCCGCGGAGGGAGGAAGGGAGGGGAGGCGAGGGGAAACTCGGGACTCGAGCGGGGAGGGAGTGGAAGCGGAGGAAAGGGCGGAGACTGGGGCGCGGGGGAACGAGGTCTTGGGGAGAAAGATGAGGAGGCGCTCCGAGTGCTTGGCGCGGGGATTCCAGGGTCCAATGCTCAGCGTCGCCTAAAGCCGGGGTGCCGCGTCGCCGGCCACCAGGAGGGAGTCGTGTCCGGGAGCTGCCGCCGCCGGCTCTCCCACTACTCCCGGACGGGCTATGGGCGACCCTGCTCTCCGGTGTCTCTCAGTGCGGTCCTGGGCACCCTGCCGGGGGGGAGGGGGTTGCCCGGGGTGTCCGCCCCCATCTCCGGGTAGGGAGGCGGGGCCAGGAGTGGGGGCTGGCGGGTCAGGTCAGGACAAGGGGTCAGGCACCAGCGGGAGCAGCTGGGTGGGGATGGGAAAGTCGAGCTGGGAAGTTAGAGCTGATTCCCCGGGGGTCGCCTCGACTGGGTGGACAGCTCCGTGCTGGTGGTGGGGGCAGCGCTGCCTGAAGTCCAGGATCCACTTTATCCTCACTCTTGTCCCGCTCCAGCGAAGAGCTGTGGAATGTAAGAATTCACTTGGGGAGTGGTTCATGCCCAAGTGGGGGTCGGGGCGCTAATCCTTTGGGCAAGGGGAGAGATGCTAATCCTCCGGGCTGGTCGGGGCTGGTCCCGGAATGTGCCCCCATCCGGATTATGGGCACCGATGCTCTGGACAGAAGCCGCTTTGTGTTCTGGGACAGCAGGGGAGTGGGGGAGGAGGGGGCATGGGTTGATGGAGGAGGGGTTGCGGAGGGACACAGGGCAAGGCCAGGAGGTGGGAGTGAGTGCCTGCAGGTGCTGCGGACAGCAGCCCTGCCCTCCTCCCAGACCCGGTCCCCTCCCTGGGCACCTCTCCCCCACGCTGGCAGGCCCTGGCTCCTGGCGTGCGGGGGGTGGGGGTGGGGGGGGTGGAAAGAAGTCAGCTGAGTTGCCGTGGTTGCCAGGAATGTGTCGCTAGACTCCCCACCCTGGGCAGGATCCCCCCACCACCTTTTTTCTGTGACTCTGCACTGACCTGTCTTACCCCCAGGTAGCTCTCAGTTGGGCAATACCTTGGGGTAGCCGCCTGTTACTACTCTGCTAGGGGCTTGGGTGCAGCCCCATGGGAATGGGCGCCCTCATTTGCAGTGGTTGGGATCCCTGCGCTTCTACTCCAGCCCCCATCCCCAACACACAGTGTCCCCACCCCCTCTCCCAGCTCCCCAAGCTCCCCTACAGTCAGAGTCAGGAGGGCCACAGCCCTGCCACTCAGATTTTCCTGGCCCCAGACTAGGGACTGGAGAAGTGGGGACTGCCCCTCAGAGGGGCAGAACCTCGGGGTTTCTTGTCCACCCCTCCCAGCCGTCACGTGCCCCTCCCCCATTATAAAGCTCTGCCCAGCCTGTGCCCACCGCCTGCCCCTGCCTCCCTCCTGCTGCTGCGCAGAGCTGGGCCCCTGCCCTTCGCCCCAGGAGCCTATTTCTCTCGGCTTGCAGGCACAGCCGGCGAGGGGGTGCCCATCCCCACTAGCAGGCCCCCTGCTTGCCGCCTTGAGCTCTGTCCAGATTCTTTCTCTGCCCCGTGGGGTGTCTCACTCCACACCACACCCCTCTCTGACCTCAGGCCCACCTCCAGGTCACTGCCTTCCTGTTTCTGTCTGGCCCTTCACTCCTGTTCTGGCCCGATTCTTTATCACTCTGCCCCTGGTCTGTTGCTCTCTCCAGGCTGGGCCTTGACTCCTTCCTCCCCCGTTTCTGCAGCCTCTGCCCTTGCAGTCCTTTCCTGCTCCCTCCGGGCCGTGGTGGCCCGAGTGCCTCGGTCCTCTCCTTGTGTGCCTTTGTTCTCTTTTCCACCTATAAATAACTCCTCTTTGCTCCCGCGCCTCCAGGGCCACTCCGAGGCCCTTCCTAGCCTAAGAGGATCCGTGTGGCAGGCAGCAGCGGACCCTTTCCTCTCTGGACGCCCCTGCTCTCCAATGGTGACTGGTCCTGTCCCCCATCCAGGTTATGCCTCCACCTTGTTGCTCTGAAAGTCGCAGCGACAGTGAAAAGGGCTAGGATTTGGCCATGAGCAGCGCCCCCCGGCGCCCTGGGTCGGGCGCAGACTCTTTCCACACGGTGAGTAACCCGCGCCACAGGCCGCACAGGTGCTGAGGCCTGGGTCCTGCCAGGCAGGGGTGGGGGTGTGGAGGGGGCCTGCAAGAGCTCAGAAAAGAAGGCTTGTGTGCTTGCCTGCACCCTGACCCTGTATCAGTGTGAATGTCTGGGGGCTGCTAGAATGGGAGGCAGCTGGCTGTTTCCTGAAGATTCAGGTGGTAGTTGAGCCACAGCTGTACAGAACCTGGAGGACCTTGGGTCACAAACCTGGTGACCCCCTGTGACCTGGCCTTAGGTAAGGGTGCACACAGAGCGGTGGGGGCAGAGCGCTCTGGCCGAGCCTGGGCCCGCCCCCGGCCCCGCCCCCGGCCCCATATGTCATTCAGGTCCCTCCCTCCCGTCCCCCACGTGGCCACCGCCCCACACGGCCCCCTCCTGATTTTCCTAAGGAGTCTAATGATTAACCCCAGGGCCACAATCTACCTCCCGGCATTGGTCACTTGTGGCCCTGCGGGGCACGTGACTGGGAAGGGAGCGGACAGGTGCCCTGCTCCCTCCTTCCCAGGGTTACCCCGCCGGCCATGGACTTCCTCCTGCGGCCTCAGGTGCGAGGGGCGCGCGCCAGCCCCCAGCCCCGGGCGCCCCCTCCTCCTCCTGCTCCTGCTCCCCCTCCTCCTCCTGCGGGCGCTTCTGGTGGCGGGGGTCAAGCTCCAGCGGCGGTGGGCAGGGCCCTCTGACCCTTGCATCTTCCATCCCGCAGCGTCCCTGCCGGTCCTTGCTGATCCTGTCCACGGACAATCCCCCCCGCACCCCCACCCCCTCCCAAGACCCGCCTTCCTCCCCTGAGCTTCCTTGTTCTCGCGGCTGGCACTGCCATGGGGGGCTTCATACCCCCGCCCTTGGAGGTCCCGATGCCCTTCAAGTCCAGGAGCTCTTGAGCAAATATTTGGCGGTGCCTGGAGCCGAGACCGGTAGGGGGTGGTGGTGGTGGGGCTGGACCAAGGCTGCCCCGCCAGGCGCGGCCGCTTAGCTGAGCTGAGCTCAGGAAGGCGCCGCAGTCCCTGCCCAGCGCTGCCCGCTGGTGCTGCCCGCTGCCGCCCGCTGAGCTCGCTCCCGCAGGATGACTCAGGTGGGGGGCGTGGGGGTGGGGTGAGGGGCGGGGCTAGCGGCGGCGGGGCTGGGTGGGGGCGCTTGCTGCGGAGTAGGGGATCCCCTGGCCCTGGGAAGTGCATGCATTCCGGTCTGGGCAGGGCTGGGTGGGTTTGACTCCGACCTACTCGAGGTCAGTTAGCTTGGGCGCTTCCAAAAGTTACTTCTGGGGCTCAGCAGCTGTCCTCCAGCCAGAGGAGCTCTTGATTATCTGCTTGGAGCACTGCCTGGTTCATACACCCTCTCTCGAGCTGCAGAAGGGCTGGATGTAGGATTTGTGCTGGCACCTCCAGGGTGGGCCCTGCCACTTGCCTTAGGACTGATGGGTGGACTATCAGAGGGGGTCCACAAGCTGGGAACCCAGGGCACAGCCTGCTGCTGCCGAGCACCCGCTCCCTGGCATTGAGAGGGACAATTGCTGGGAGGAGTCAGGTTGCTGGGAGGGGACTGGGTTCCTGTATTTGAGGGGATAGGTTGTTGGGGGGCTGGGTCCTTGTATTTGAGGGGACAGGTGGCTGTAGGGGGATTGAGTCCTTACATCTGAAGGGACAGGTAGCTGCGGGCAGACTGGGTACCTGCACTGAGGGGACAAGTTGCTGGGAGAGGACTGAGTTTCTGGGCTTGGAGGACGTAGCTACTGAAGGTATCGGATCTCTGGTACTGGGTAAGTAGAGCATTGAGGTACAGCCCCCATTGAGGTCCTGTGTGTTCTGCACCCCTGGTCCTCACAGCCAGAGCCAGAGACCGTGGGCCCTGGGACACCTGGCTTCCCCGAGCAGGAGGAAGACGACCTTCACCGCACCTTGGGCGTGGAGCGGTTCGAGGAGATTCTCCAGGAGGCCGGATCCCGCGGAGGGGAGGAGCCCGGCCGCAGCTATGGGGAGGAAGACTTTGAATGTGAGAGGTGGCCACGGGAAGGGAGGCTGAGGGCTCAGCCTGACTGCCAGCACCCAAAGGGCCGGGGCCCAATGGGAGGAGCCGAGGCTAGGATGGCAGGGGAAGGGTTGGGTACCTGCCAGCAGACAAGCGCCTCCTCCCCACAGACCACCGGCAGTCTTCGCATCACATCCACCACCCACTGTCCACTCACCTGCCCCCTGATGCCCGCCGGCGCAAGACCCCCCAGGGCCCAGGACGGAAGCCTCGGAGGCGCCCTGGAGCCACGCCCACCGGGGAAACCCCCACCATTGAAGAGGGGGAGGAAGATGAGGATGAGACCAGTGAGGCTGAGGGGGCGCGGGTGCTCACACAGCCCTCCCCTACCTCCACGCCGTCTTCCGTGCAGGTGAGTGGCAGCCCAGGCTCCGGGGAGATGGCCCCAGGGTCCCTGCCCGGCCTCACCTGCCGGCTGCAGTTCTTTCTCCAGGAGGACGAAGGTGCAGACCGAAAGGCAGAGAGGACCAGTCCATCTCCCCCCGCAGAGCTCCCCCAGCAGGAGGTGGCACCCCCGGCCACCAAAAGGGCCCAGCCTGGGTGAGTGCATCCTCCTCACTGCTGTGCCGGGGTGGTGAGGGCGCAGATATAAAAGCGCGAGTTTTGGTGTCACCAGGCTGGAGTTTGAATCCTGGGTCTTTCTCCCACCAGCTGCTTGGGCGGGTGACTTAAGTTCCCTGAGATCTGGCTGTCTGTGGTTGATGCTGTCCTCCACCTTGTCCCTCACCCCACTGTCCCCTCATCCAACTAGGCTGTCGGCCTCCTGCCACCTGCTGGGGCCCCCAGGGCTTGGGAAGGATAGGAGACCACTTTCATTCCTTTCATTCCTGTGTCCCCGTTTGGAAACCAAGTGCCCGGAAATGGTGGCAGAATGCTGTCACTTGTACCCAGTGGCTTGGGTTGGGCATCAGTAACAGCAGGTGACAGGAGTTTGAGGACACTAGCCAGTGACTCTGAAAGAGGCCTTGAGGTCACGACTATCGTGGACCTGTTGTTTCCTGGGTGCTAGGTAGTGTGAAGGCTTGGAGAAGTAAAGGGCACAGTGCCCCTTCAGGGCAGTGCCCAGGCCCACTGAGAGGCCACACTGGTGCCATGGAGCCTCCGGGAAAGCCAGGCGCGGGGGACAGGAAGAGAGAAGTGGGCGGGGCTGTGGTGGGCCAGGGCTGTGGGGTGGGCTGGGCCTGGAAGGCTCTTGGTCTTGGAGGAGACGTGGGCTTGGGTTGTGGAGCTGTCCGTGTGGGGAGAGAGAACGGTTCGGCAGGTGCTCTGGTGTTGGTGGGGTCCCGGGGAGATGGCTGCAGTTCAAACCCCATTTGCGTGTAGGTCAGTTCTTTGGTCAGAAAAGGGGGGCCCTGTGAACCTCTCGCACCCCGCAGTCTGAGGTACATCCGGGAGGGCCAAAGGGCAAGGGAAGGAGTAGCGACATTTGAAGACACAGTCATCCAGCACCTGTTATAAACTATGCCCTGCGCTGGCACTTTCCAAAAATGTCACCTTCCCCGCCACACGTTCTGCTGGGTGTTTATGTACAGCTAAGAGGGCAGTGGCCTCCACGACGTCCCCTTCCCAGGGCTCCCCTGCATGGCAGAGACGACCAGCTCATTCCATCTCATGGCTACTCTGTCGCAGAACTCTGGTGGAGGAAACAGTCCTGGTGGCCAGTGGCACAGCTGGGGGTGACGATGGCGGTGCCTCAGGGCGCCCCCTGTCCAAAGGCCCGCCTGGGCACCGCAGCTACAATCTTCAGGAGAGAAGGCGAATCGGGAGCATGACCGGGGTGGAGCAGGCGCTGCTGCCCCGGGTCCCCACTGATGAGAGCGAAGCGCAGACGCTGGCTACAGCTGACCTTGATCTCATGAAGAGTGAGTGGCGGGCTGGAGCATGCCCACTGCTGGTGGGAAAAGGAGCCAGGGAAAGGGAGCCTGACCCTGGCCCTACCCTCGCCCCAGGTCACCGGTTCGAGGATGTCCCTGGGGTGCGGCGGCACTTGGTTCGAAAGAATGCCAAAGGGTCCTCGCAGAGCTCCAGGGAAGGGCGAGAGCCTGGCCCCACGCCTCGAGCCCGGCCCCGGGCCCCCCACAAGCCTCATGAGGTACTGTTCTCTGCTTCCTGCTCTTCTGCCCCCTCCCCTCCTTCACTCAGTGATTTCCAGGCCCTGTGATGATGAAGGTTGTACACTGTGCAAGACTGCAGTAGTAGAGATCGATGTGGGCTTCCTGGTGTGGCCCACATGGGAGGCATCCCCGATTTGTGTATTATTATTATTATTATTTTTTTTTTTCGTCTTTTTGAGACAGGGTCTCGCCATGCAGTTCAGGCTGACTTTGAGCTCCCTTTGTAGCCCAGGCTGGTCTTGAATTTGCAGCGATCCTCCTGCCTCAGCCTCCTGAGTGCTGGGATTACAGACGTGCGCCATGATGCCTGGCTTTGATTTGTGTATTGCAGTGATAATTCCCACCTGACACCTGGCTGATGTGTGTGTCGAGGACATTTCCTAGCAGGTGGCAGGAGTCTGAGGAGGAGATGCTCTATTCTGCTTTGAGCAAAGAACCCCTCCGGCTGGAGGGGGCTCTGAGTAGTGCTGTGCTTTGTTTTCTTTTCTGGGTTTGTTTATTTGTTTGTTTTTGGTTTTTTTGAGACAGGTCTCACTGTGTAGTTCAGGCTGGCCTTGAGCTCACTCCGTAGCCCAGGCTGGCCTTGAAAGTCCTGGGATCACAGGTGTGCACCACATCTAGGTGTGTGCTTTGTTTTCAAAACCTAGTCACCTCTGTATCCCTTGATCCTCCAACAACCTGTGAAGGTGACAGCCATTAATGAGGAAGTGTGACTTGGCCAAGGTCACCTAGTTTCTTCATGATACTGCCTGTCTTAGAATACAGGGCCCTGGTCCTGGACTCAGGTATATTTTTAAGCATTTTTATTGAGATTTAATAGCCCTGTAGTAAACTACACCCGTGCCTCATCCTCTTGGGCTGCGGCACTTGGACAGCTACTGGCTAGAGATGGTTTCCGCCCTCGGCAAGTTGCTTTCCGCCCTGCCCCACCCCACCGCAGGAGTGCCAGCAGAGGTGACCACTCTGCTCTTTGCAGATAGTTTTGCCAGTCCTCAATGTGTGCAAAGAGAATTATAGGGGCCTCGCTGTTTTTTTGTTTGTTTTTTGCCAAGACAGGGCCTTGCCATGTAGCTCAGGCTGGTTTGAACTCACTATGTAGCCCAGGCTGGCCTTGAACTTGCATCGGTCCTCCTGCCTCAGCCTGCCAGAGTGCTGGGATTACAGGCGTGCACCGCCAGGTCTAGCTTTCTAGCCTCGTTCTTTAGCCCTCATCCCAGCCTCTGGAGGTAGGTATCATAGTTGCCATTTTACAGGCACTGCAATCCCAGGCTTGGATTGGTCAGTCACTTGTCCCAGCTCCCTGGGCCTCCAGTGAGCCTTGCCCGAGGGTGTGTCATCCATTGTGCCCCCATGGTCACTGTGCCCTCCCAATGACACTTGTCCCTGGCCGACCCTGGTCCACCTTTGACTTGTACCCTGCAGCGCGTTGTCATCTTGCCCCAAGGTGTTTGTGGAGCTGAACGAATTGCTGCTGGACAAAAACCAGGAGCCACAGTGGCGGGAGACGGCGCGCTGGATCAAATTTGAGGAGGATGTGGAAGAGGAGACGGAGCGCTGGGGGAAGCCCCACGTGGCATCGCTGTCCTTCCGAAGCCTCCTGGAGCTCCGACGGACCTTGGCCCATGGTACCCTGTCCCCCAGATCCCCACAAAACTCCCTGTTCCCAGGCCAAATTGCTAAAGGTAGGGTTGGTCCATCTTCATGGAAAGCTTCCTAGAATTCCTGGCGTGCTTCCTTAGCACTTAGGGAATTCAGGGGATAAGGGTTAACCTGTAAGTCTGCGCAAAGGGCTCTAAAACACCCTCCGCCCACCCCCTGGGCTCGGAGGCCCTGGCTACTGACTTGTCCCTTGCTGTTGTCAAGGAGGAAATCACACCTAGTTATCCTGTGTGTCTGGTTTCTAAGCAGCTAAGGGCTGAAAACCTTTTAGAATTGTTTCTAAACTAAGAGTTAAGAGACTTTTGCTTTGGGTAAAGTGTATGTGCTTTATCATTAGGCATAGTGATCTGCTTTGGCTACTCAGGAGTCTTGGGTTCTGTTTATTCTTTAGTTCTTTGTTTCTGAAAGTTGACCTTGCCAGATAAACACCCTGATAGATCTGAAAGGACTTTTTCTTTTTTAATTTTGTTGGCAGTACTGGGGACTGAAACTAGGGCCTTCACACTCAGCCACATTCTCAACCCTTTTTTAATTTATTATGAAACAGGATCTCACTAAATTGCTAAGTTTCCCAGGCTAAGTTTCTCAGCCTCCCACAGTGCTGGGATTCTAGGTGTGAGCCACCAAGCCCGGCTTGGAAGGGCTTTCTAAATGAAATAGTGGTGCGCATCTGGAAGCTGCCCAGGGAGCGCCCCTTAGGCTTGGAGAAGCAACAGGAAGTCAAGAAGCCTGGGGTGGAAGGGGAAGGGGTCTTCAGGTGTCTCTTGGACAGGGCCACAGAGCAGTTATACCATGTTCTGGGGGGTGGAGCTTGGCCCGCAGAGGAGCCCTGGTTCACTAAGAAGACCTTCCTAGTAGCAAAGGTGTTTCAGCCAGAGTGTGGAGCCTGGTTGCTCCTGGAAGTGGGGTCTGATAGTTGAGCTTTGGGGATCTCTACTGGCCTCACTGTGTTCCTGGGAGGAGGCGGGGATGGGGAGAAATAGGCCAGAGAGCTGGGCATGGTATAATCCAGGCACTGGGGAGACTGAGGCAGAGAGATCACCTCCAGGTCAAGGTCAGCCTGAGCTACATAGCCAGACCCTCTCTCCAAAAAAAAAAAAAAAGAAAAAGAGGCCAGAGAGGCAAAGCGATAGGGACTTCGGGGGCAGAGCTGGACTCAAGCCTAGGCCTCTGTCTCTAGGCCCTGACCCCGGTACCCACCTGGCAGCCCCTTCTTGCCCTGGCTCTCTCGCCTTCTGTCCCCATGGCAGTTTTCTGCCTAGGGGTGAGGTGCCCTCCCTCTGTCACAGGGGCTGTGCTCCTGGATCTGGACCAGCAGACCCTGCCCGGGGTGGCCCACCAGGTGGTGGAGCAGATGGTTATCTCCGACCAGATCAAGGCTGAGGACAGAGCCAATGTACTCCGGGCCCTGCTGCTGAAACACAGGTGCAGCTCGAGGGGCAGGGGACCCCTCGGTAGCTTGTCCTGTGCCCAGTGGTACCACTGCCCCTCCTTACCCTGCCCGACCTCTGTCCCATAGCCACCCGAGTGACGAGAAGGACTTCTCCTTCCCCCGCAACATCTCAGCAGGCTCCCTGGGCTCCCTGCTGGGACATCATCACGCCCAGGGTGCCGAGAGTGACCCCCATGTTACTGAACCGCTCATTGGTGGGGTTCCCGAGACCCGGCTGGAGGTGGAGCGAGAGGTGAGGGAGAATGGGCCGTGAGCAAGCCCGGGTGTGAACACGGGACAAGGGCAGGGGGTGCAGGCTAGCTGGGCTGAGCCCTGTTCTTGTCCCCCTAGCGTGAGCTGCCTCCTCCGGCCCCTCCAGCGGGCATCACCCGCTCCAAGTCCAAGCATGAGTTGAAGCTGTTGGAGAAGATCCCTGAGAATGCTGAGGCCACTGTGGTCCTTGTGGGTATGTATGGGAGGGCTCAAGGCCTGGGGACGTGGTGGCCTGGCCTCAGGACTCCCCTGGGCTGGGGCTGGAAAGAGTCCTGCGGCGTGCTCGTGCCCACCACAGCCCCACACCCCTAGGCTGCGTGGAGTTTCTCTCGCGCCCCACCATGGCCTTTGTGCGTCTGCGGGAGGCTGTGGAGCTGGACGCAGTGCTGGAGGTGCCAGTGCCCGTGCGCTTCCTCTTCCTCTTGCTGGGCCCCAGCAGTGCCAACATGGACTACCACGAGATCGGCCGCTCCATCTCCACCCTCATGTCCGACAAGGTCAGCCCCTTACCACCTGCTTCCCTCCCGGGACCCACACCCAGCCCTGTCCATCCTGGGCCCCTGGCAGCATCTTCCCAGCCCCTTGCCCACCCCTGCTGTGGGCTGCCACCTCCAGGTCCCATCTGGTGCCCTCCCTGATCCCAGTCCTGCTTTGGCAGCAATTCCATGAGGCGGCCTACCTGGCGGACGAGCGGGAAGACTTGCTGACCGCCATCAACGCCTTCCTGGACTGCAGCGTGGTGCTGCCGCCCTCAGAGGTGCAGGGCGAGGAGCTGCTGCGCTCTGTTGCCCACTTCCAGCGCCAGATGCTTAAGAAGCGGGAGGAGCAGGGCCGGCTGCTGCCCCCAGGGGCCGGGCTGGAGCCCAAGTCTGCCCAGGAAAAGGGTACGCTGTGGCGACGCCGGCTGGACAGGGCTGCCCAAGGCAGGAGTGGGTGGGTGGGCGCACAGCCTCTGGGCGCCCTGACGGAGGCCTGGTCTGCAGCGCTCCTGCAGATGGTAGAGGCGGCGGGCACAGTGGAAGATGATCCCCTGCGGCGGACGGGCCGGCCCTTTGGAGGGCTGATCCGCGACGTGAAGCGCCGCTACCCCCACTACCTGAGTGACTTCCGCGATGCGCTTGACCCGCAGTGCCTGGCGGCTGTCATCTTCATCTACTTCGCAGCCCTGTCTCCAGCCATCACCTTTGGGGGGCTGTTGGGTAAGGGAACACTCAGAGGAGGGGCAGGGCATACAGAGCCCACGGCCCAGCTTCTGAGCCTGTGACTTGCACCCCCAGGAGAAAAGACACATGACCTGATAGGGGTGTCGGAGCTCATCATGTCCACAGCGCTCCAGGGTGTGATCTTCTGCCTGCTGGGGGCCCAGCCGCTGCTGGTGATTGGCTTTTCTGGGCCGCTGCTGGTCTTCGAGGAGGCCTTCTACTCGGTAGGGCTCTTCTTCCCCTGCGCTGGCCGCCTGTCCTCTCCCTGTCCTCCTCTCCCTTGTCCCCAGAGCCCTGACGGCTCCCTGGCTCCCTGCCTCCCCTGCGTAGTTCTGCAGAAGCAACGAGCTGGAGTACCTGGTGGGCCGGGTATGGATCGGCTTCTGGCTGGTGCTGCTGGCCCTGCTCATGGTGGCCCTGGAGGGGAGCTTCCTGGTGCGTTTTGTATCCCGCTTCACCCAGGAAATCTTCGCCTTCCTCATCTCCCTCATCTTCATCTACGAGACCTTCTACAAACTGGTCAAGGTGTGGCGGCCCTGATGGGGATGGGGCGGAGGGCAGGGAGGGGGTGTCCTGCCTGTCTTAGGTCTTGTCCTCTGGGCTTGCAGTCTGTAGCTCACAGGGCTGGGGCTTTGTTCCCCCCTTGGCCTCCCTAACGTCAACACATACCAGCCCTTTAGCTCAGTCTTCTAGAAACTCAAATTTTTTTAATAAAGGGAGCCTATGCTTTTGTTCAAATGTCAGACAGTTCAGGAGTCTGCAGGAAGGGCCTCGAGGCGACAAATGCAGTCCTGGGCTAGGATCAAGATCTGTGACAGGCTTGCGTAGTGCTGGCCCCCGTCCTCTGCTCATTCCACAGTCCCCAGTGGTCTTCCTGTCTTTACCACCCCTTGGACCCTTGGTGTCTGTCTGTCTGTCTGTCTGTCTCTCTCCCCTCTCTCGTGTATTGAACTGAGGACTACTGCACTGAGCTACCTCTCCAGCCCTCTTTAAAATCTGTATTTTGAGACAGGGTCTCAGTAAGTCACTAAGTTACTAAGAGATCTTCTTGCCTCTGCCTCCGAATACAGTATTGGAATCATGTCCTTGGGCCCTTTTATAATCTCATGTAGCCCTATGCTCACAACTAGTCTCTGTGTTTTCCCTCTTTCCTTCCTGCCCCTTCCCTCCCTCCCTCCCTCTTTCCTTTTTTTTTTTTTTTTTGTGGTATTGGGGATGAAACCATTGTGTAAACTAGGCAAGCACTGGCTCTCCCCCTGCGTGCCTGCTTCAAAGTCTTTTCTCTTTGAGACAAGATCTCGCTATGTAGTTCAGGCTGTCCTTGAACTCACTGTGTAGCCCATGCTGGCCTCAAACTTGTGGGGATCCTCCTACCTAGGCTGTCAAGTGCTGGGGCATGCGCCACCATGCCTGGCCACAGGATCAGTTTCTTAATCCAACAAGACGGCTCCGTGGCTCCCTGCCTCTCCCCTGCCTGCCCAGCCCCCCAGCATCCAGCTCACGAAGTTCTTTGTGGCCTTCTCTCCCCAGATCTTCCAGGAGCACCCCCTCCACGGCTGCTTGGTGTCCAACAGCTCTGAGGCAGACGGTGGCAAGAATGCAACGTGGACTGAGGCAGCACCCACACTGGGGCCCAGCAACCTGAGTTCAGCCGGGCAGGCTGGGGCGGGGAGACCCCGGGGGCAGCCCAACACGGCCCTGCTGTCGCTGGTGCTCATGGCTGGCACCTTCTTCATCGCCTTCTTCTTGCGAAAATTCAAGAACAGCCGGTTTTTTCCTGGCCGGGTGTGTGGGTTTGCAGGCCAGAGGGAGCTGGGGCCAGGAAGCGGGGCGGCTGGGACATGAGGGGCTGCGTGGGGTAGGGGCTCTGAGCACGCGCTTGCCCGCTTGCCTTCTCAGATCCGGCGGGTGATTGGGGACTTCGGGGTGCCCATCGCCATCCTCATCATGGTGCTTGTGGATTACAGTATTGAGGACACCTACACGCAGGTAGGCACTGCACTGGGTGGCTGTTGCCACCTAGGTCTGGGTGATCCCACCTTGGGGTCTTGGGGCTCCACTCCAGCCCCAGCCAGAGCTGTTCCTAGGCCAGGCAGACACCGAGCCTCTCCCATGGCCCGTGAGCCCCCGCTGTCTCTGCCCTGCAGAAGCTGAGCGTGCCCAGTGGATTCTCGGTGACAGCCCCCAACAAGCGGGGCTGGGTCATCAACCCCCTGGGGGAGAAGAGCCCCTTCCCTGTGTGGATGATGGTTGCCAGCCTGCTGCCCGCCGTCCTGGTCTTCATCCTCATCTTCATGGAGACGCAGATCACCACGTGAGTGGCCCTGGGCCGAGGCGCCTGAGTCCCCAGGCAGGCTCTGGGACCAGCATGGGAAGCACCACCCCTCTGCCCGGCACAGGAGCCCAAGGCCCTTGGGAGACCTTGAATGCCGGGCTAGCCAAAGCTTGTTTTGTAGGCAGCAGAAAATGTCACTGATGTTGGGGGGGCGGGGCAGGGGCAGAGCACAGGGTGGGCAGCCTGGTAACCTGCAGGATAAGGGCTGAGGCCCAGCGCAGCACCAGGATGCAACTCTAGCCTGGCAGCGTGGACAGGGGCCACCAGGTTTCATAAGCAGATGGAGAGACTGCCCCTCTCCCCCTCAGGCTGATCATCTCCAAAAAGGAGCGTATGCTGCAGAAGGGCTCTGGCTTCCACCTGGACCTGCTGCTCATCGTGGCCATGGGTGGCATCTGTGCCCTCTTTGGCCTCCCCTGGTTGGCTGCTGCTACCGTCCGCTCAGTCACGCACGCCAACGCGCTCACCGTCATGAGTAAGGCCGTGGCACCCGGGGATAAGCCCAAGATCCAGGAGGTCAAGGAGCAGCGGGTGACGGGCCTGCTGGTGGCCCTGCTTGTGGGTATGCTGCCCCTTGCTACACCCATCCCGGGGCCTCCAGGGCCACTGGGGGATTGAATCCCTGGGCTGACCGTTTCCCCACCCCTCCCAGGCCTCTCCTTGGTTATCGGAGATCTACTCCGGCAGATCCCCCTGGCCGTGCTCTTTGGGATCTTCCTGTACATGGGGGTGACCTCCCTGAATGGCATCCAATTCTACGAGCGGCTACACCTGCTGCTTATGCCACCGAAACACCACCCGGATGTCACCTACGTCAAGAAGGTGAGTTCCTTCTGCTCCGTCCTGCTCTACTTCGGTCACATGCGCCTCCTGCCCCGCCCCCACTTCCTATCTCTGCACAGAGCGAGCTCTGGAAGCACCTCAGGCTCTTCTGTCCCCCTTTCTGAAGAGGAAGAAAGGCCATCCTGTCCCAGTCCTTGGATGTGGCTGGGGAGGAGCCCCGGCCCACCTTCTCTCTGTCCCCCAGGTTCGCACGATGCGCATGCACCTGTTCACGGCCCTGCAGCTGCTCTGCCTGGCCCTGCTCTGGGCTGTCATGTCCACAGCGGCCTCACTGGCCTTCCCCTTCATCCTCATCCTCACGGTGCCGCTGCGCATGGTGGTGCTGACCCGCATCTTCACGGAGCGCGAGATGAAATGTGTAAGGACCCCGCCCCCTCCCGCCACCCTCCCCGCCATCAGCCGTCTCCCGTGGCTCTGGAAAGTCCCAGCCTGCACTTCCTCCCACAGCTGGATGCTAACGAGGCGGAACCCGTGTTTGATGAGCGTGAGGGCGTGGACGAGTACAACGAGATGCCCATGCCTGTGTAGCTGCCACCTGCAGGGACCGCTGAGGGCCCGATGGGCCGAGGGGATGGGGGCTGGTGGGATGGGCCGCCCCCTCCCCTCCTCGTTTTTATTTAAGTGAATAATTTAAAGTCCCCTTCCCCCACCCCCACAGTAAAGTGCTACGGCCCCCACCCAGCTCTGGCTTTCTGTTTCTGTGGGGGCAATGAATGGAAGGAGGTGAGGGGAGCCAGCCCTGCTCCCTGTCCCCAGAAATGAGAGTCGCCATGGGCAAGGAAGGGGACTTTAATGAAAAAGCAAAACATGAGTCAAAGTGCAAATTGTCCACCCCCCATGGGGGGGCCATCTTGAGCCCCAAGTGCGCCCCTCACCCCCCTTCAGGCCCCCAGCGGAGGCCCAAGGCCTGCAGCTTCTGCCTCAGGTAGCTCTTCAGCTGGGGCAGACCTCTCTGTGACTCCAGTTCCTCAAAGGGTAGCTGTGAGGAGAGGACAGAGGGTCACCTGCAGGCCAGACACAAGAACACGCACGCACACGGGCACGCAGAGCCACTCACCGGCAGAAGCTGGTAGCCCATGAGGCCCAGGTGCCGCTCCCTCAGGGCCCGGGAGCCCAGCAGCACTCTGCCGTCTCGGCAGAAATGCCAGCGTTCACGCAGCATCAGCACCACCCTGCAGGGACAGACAGTGTCTGGGCGCTGTTGCCGCACCATGGGGCCTAGGCACGCCCAGCCTGTCTCTTTACCTTTGGGCCGGGATTCCGGTTGTGGGGTTAGAGGCAGCCTGGCCCTGCGGGCAGGACCTTGGTGGGTAAGGTAGAAAGGGGTCCTGGGTCCTCACTGGGAGCACAGCACCGGAGCCGCTCACACACAGCAGGAAGTCTGCGAGAGACAGAGACCGGGCTTTAGCCGAGCTCCTCTCCAGGGCTGCCACCCACCTGGAGCTCACCTGTGCAGTAGCCTGGAGGCACAGTCAGGTCCCGGCGGTATTTCTCCTCCCCCAGCAGCTGCCGCAGCCCCTCAGCTACTACGTCCTTGTGACTGAGGGAAAAGGACACCAGTAGAAGGCCCCAGAGTCTCACCTGCCCCTTGCTGAGCACCACCGCCCTGGCCACCACCTCTGCTACCTCTGGGCCCATTTTCCTTCATGTCTGCCCAGCACATCATCAGCGCCAGCTGTGCCACCTTCAGCCCAGGCTGCCCACCCACCTGTACTTGCAGCGGGCACGGTCAGTGATGAGAGGCTGTGGGAAGATGGGCACCTGCTGTCTCCGGGGAAGGCGGGGGCCCTGGTATCCTGGGAGCTCCAGCTCCACAGCTGTGTCAAGCAGGGAGAGGTAGCGCCGCACGATTACAGCATGAGGGGTGCCTGTGGGGAGGCAGGGACTGGAGACCCACTGGGCCACCAAGCCCTGGGCACCGCCTGCCCTTGCCTCCTTGGCCCCCTCCAGCCAGCCCAACTCTGCCTACCGCTGATGTGCTTGATGAAACCCGGGGAGAAGACAAAGTGCAGGGCTCTGAAGGGCAGGCACCGCAGCTGGCACAGTGACATCAAGATGTTGACTGTGGCCAGGGGTGCCACCCCCGCTTCCCGTGCCAGGATCCGCTCAAGGCAGGGCATGAACTGCTGCTCGAGGGGCAGGTAGTTCAGCCGCCCGAAGGGCAGGACCAGCTTCTGCACCACCTGTGAAGAGCAGCACATGACCCCAGAGAGCGGCTCCTGGGTCTCCCACAGGCTGCTGTGGTCCAAACTGGGGGTATGGCAAGCACGGCAGCACAGTCCTCTCTCCTGGCACCTGAACCCCAAGCTCCGCAGTATGAGCAGTGCCCTGAGCCACCTATGACTCAATACCAGAGCAGGCAGAGGGATACCGATGTGTGTGTGGTGGCCTCAAAGCTTCGAGCAGTGGCATGTGAGGTTCGGACAGTGCTGAGTGCTTTGGCAGACTGCAGCGCTCTAGGCATCAGTGCTGGTCATGGGAGCTGGACAAGCCACAGAGGGTGTGCGCAGAAGGCACCCCAGGGCATTGAGCAGGGCAGCCCGGCTGGAGCGTTTGCTCCCTCAGAGGCCAGTGGGGCTGGACAAGGTTGGGCTTGGCCTGGTCACTGAGGATGACTCAGAGGAGCACGGGAGGGTGGGAGGCAAGCCCACCTTGCTGTTGAGCTGGCTTTCCTGGGCCACCAGGAAGTGGGCAATGGCTTCCAGAAGCTGGGGCTCCCGCAACCGGTGCCGGGCCAAGTGCTTGGCCAGGAGCACCATCCCGTGGGGTGTGAGCTCCTCAGGCCTTGCCCCTGTGAAGAACAGCTGGTCACACAGGACCCCCAGGCCAGACCTCCAGTGGGCCCGACTACACCAGAGCCCAGGAAACTTAGCACCTGCCCCCATTTAACCCTCGAGCACCTGCGAGGCTACTGATCAGATGCTGCCGTGGGTACCGCAGGAACTGAGGGTCGCTCAGAGCAGCTTCTCGTCTTTGCCCACCTTGGAGGGCAGGCAGTAGAGGTGGAGGTGGTTTCAGACAGAGGCGGAACATTTGCTCCTGCTCTAGGGCACACACCAGGGGCCCATCTGGAGGAAAGCCTGGGGAGAAGGCCAAAAGTGGTCCTGGTGAGAGGGCCGTGCGTGCCTTTCTAGCGGTGGGGTACGGGAGTCTCCCTCTCCTGTTTCCTGAGCGGTTAAGTGTCCAAGTGGAAGCACTGGGGACATATAAACATCATGTGAACATGAAGTGTTGAGTCCTTGGTGGGGGAAAGGTGTATACAAAGATGGCAAGCAGGCTGTGGTCTCATGCCACTTGTGAGCAAGTGCAGTGGCTCTCTAGAGCAGTGCGAAGGAACTTGGGGTGGCACCCTAGCAAGATGGAACGAACGCTGCGCTGTTTGGCTCATGGTTCTGCAGTGCGTATAGGAGGGGCAGCAGTGAGTGTACCTGGGCATGTGCCACTCCTGGGCAAAAGCCCGGAAGGCTGACTGTCAGCAGCCTGGGGTCCTCTACTGTTCTCTACTCTTTACTCTTCCCTGGACACCCGCACCCCCAGCCGCTTTCCTCACCAAGTAGGACTGCAAGGTGCAGACACGCGTGGATGGTGTGAATGTCAAAGGAGGGGCAGTTTCGGAGGATGAGCTGACTTAAGTCCTGCAGGGTGGCCTGCTCCACCGGCGGGGGCCGAGGCTGAGACACCAAGAGCTGGCCCAGCCGCCGAAGCGCCGCAGGGTAGTGGTGGGCGCGCACCTTGGTGGGGTTCTGACCCAGCCAGCGCAGCAGCTCCCCAGGACTCTTCGCCTGTTCCAGAAGCCGCTGCAGTCCTTGCACAGGGCCTGCATGGGGACTTCCTCCAAGGGGCCGCTCCCCCCACTTGCTGGGCCCCAAACAGCAGGGCTGTACTGGCGGGACCAGCAGCAGGCCAGACAAGCGAGCAGGGGAGGCCTGCGCAGGGAGCAGGACTCGGAGCACGCGGCTGGGTGATGGAGACCCTGAGGGGCAGCCCAGAAAGGGGAGTGAGGTTTCGTCCAAAGAGGAGCAACCTTGCTATCCACTCCTACCTCACTCCCCGTTAGGTGGGGCTCGGGGTCAGCGTAACCTCTGTGCCTGCTCTGGTCCCGCTCCCCACCCCGCCCCTCTTCCCCGCCCTGCTCCCGGGAACAGCAATCCTGCTCCTCGGAGGTGCTCGGCAAAGCAATCCACATGCACATCTCCTCTGCCGCTCCGCGCACGCCGAGTCGCCGCAGGGCTGGCATTACCTCATTTCACGGGGGGAGAGACCAAGGCCCAGCGCGGCAAGAGGTTAAGAAAAGCCTGAGATCCCTCACGGAGTAGGTGGTCTCAGCCAGCCCGGGACCCAGGCGGCCCCGAGGATGCGCCGGCCGGATCACCTCCCTCCCGCTGGAGGCGGCGGGGGCACGGAGGGCGGCTCGCGGGCTCCGCGGCCGGGCGGGTCAGGGGTCCCATGCGGGGCGCCCCACTTACCAGCCGCGTGACCTGGGGACAAGTGGCTTTACCTCTGCCTAAGTCTCCCCCCCAGGGAAACGAAAACCCAGCGCCCACCCCGCGGGGCGCACGCGGGCCCGAGCGCGCAGCGTTGCGAAGGCGCGGAGCCGGCGATGTCCGGGAC